TGGAGCCAGACGCAGGCCCTTAAAAGGTTTGGGTGCATGTGGAGCAGGCTGTTCAGGGCAGCCAGAACACTCACTCAGGGCCCTGGGGAACTGGCACAAGCACGAGCGGCTTGGGCAGGGGCTGAAGGGGCCAGATCTCAGCCTGGAGAGATCATCTGGTGCTGAGTGCAGGATGAGGGAGTGGTGGGACAGGCAGGGGCCGGGTTAGGAGGTGGCTACGTGGGGGAGACCTGACAGCACCTGGGAGAACTGTCTCCAAAAGAGGAGTCTCCAGGATGTGGCAGCGGATTGGATGCGGGGCTGGGAATCAGGGCAGGTTTCCTCCCCAGTCCCCACCCCTGGGGTTCTGGCCTGGGCAAGGCTCCTTTCCCTCTTGGGACCAGTCTCCCACAGGACAGGGAGGGACGCTCACATGGCACTGAAGGAAAGATGATGCTGAGCCTTGTTAAAACAGTAAGGGTTGCCGGGATAGGTGTCAAGACCGTGGGAATAGGGGAAAGAGATCAGGCCCAAGTCTGAGACGACAATGACGGACAATGACGGCTGGGGACTCACAGCCAATGAGTCTGGGGGGGGGGGGCAACCAATAGACAATTGCTAAGAGGAGCCGTGGAGGGTGGGGAGCTTCTGCTGAAGTTAGCGAGGGGGTATCCCCCATCCTCCCTAAACTGATGTAGCACAAGTTTTGCTGTGACTGGGCCAGGCAGGCCAAAGACAAGGCCCACGGATGAGTCCTGGCCAAAAACAGGGCCCCCAGTAGCCAGCCTAATGTTTGTTCAAGGAGAAGTGTTTGTCAATGGGCTCCTGGAAGATCCCTTATTTCATAAAATTCCTCTTCCTGCAGCTCACCCACACCTAAAGTGATTGTCACCTGGGGCTCAAGGCATCCAATGTTGCCTTTCCTGAAAAGGGAAACAACCCCTCCCTGAGAACCCAGGCCCTATGACTAGAGTAACACTATTGAGGGCTGGCCCTAGGCAGGATCCTAGCTCCTTTCTGGGCCTCATTTTCCTCATCTGGAGTGTGGGGCACTAGATATCTACTAGAATTGTTGTGAGGATAAACAAGCACTCATCAATGCCTGGCACACAAGGCACTGAGGGGCTGGTACTTGCTCCTCCCTCCTTTATCTACCTGTCCAAGTCCTACCTGTGTCAAGAGCCAGCTCATATTCCATATCTTATAAAAGTTCTTCCAGATCTGCCCCCACCTGATATAATACTCTGCTCCCACGCTCGCCCCCTGCTCAGCCTTCCACCGTAACCAACTGCTGGCTGTCCTGCTTCAGAGGCATTTGTGCAGGTGTCCATCGCTCCCATCAGATTTTGACTTGCTGAATATCACATGTTTTTGCATGAGCCAAAATGTGAGTCTAGCTCAGTGTTTGTCACAGAGAGAAGCTGAATTAAACCGGCCACGGCACAAGCAATCTGCAATCTACTTTCTTTAATTTTCCTGAGCAACAAAAAATATATTTCCTGCAGGAAGATTATTTTGTGAAAACAAATTGGAATGCTTATTATTAAAAGCCAAGCTCATCTGGGGCCTCTTTTGCCAAAGCTGCCTGCCCCATCTGCTTGGAAATGCAAATGTGTTCAGGTCTGGATTAACCTGCCAGATAAACTGAAGAAGGGATGTGGAGTCTTAGAACAGTTATTTGGCAGGAATTGGCTTTCTCAGCATCTTACTTTGAAATCCAGGAGTTGTTTCTATGATCTTGGCCTGTGACTCAGAAACTAAACCCTTCTTATTTTATAAGCTTATGCAACAGGCAAAAGTCGTAAACAATTTGGAAAATGGAAGAATGTCCTACTTGTGAAAAGAATTTACAAAACCACAAATTTTATCTTTGGAAATAGTATCTCATTTAAAAATATAGATCATTTTGAGGGGCACCTGGGTGGCTCAGTCGGTTAAACATTCATTTCGGCTCAGGTCATGATCGCTGTGTTGTGAGATAGAGCACCATGTTGGGCTATGCACTGGGCATGGAGCCTGCTTCAGATTCTCTTTCTCTCTGTCTCCCTCCCCTCCCTTCACATGCACGTGCACTCTCTCTCTTTCCCCTTCTCTAAAAATAAATTTTAAAAAAAAGATAGTTTTAAAAAAGATTTTATTTATTTATTCATGACAGACACAGAGAGGCAGAGACATAGGCACAGGGAGAAGCAGTTCCTCTCAGGGAGCCCGATGTGGGACTCAATCCTGGGACTCAGGATCATGCCCTGAGTCAAAGCCAGACGCCCAACTGCTGAGCCACCCTGGCATTCTTGAAATAAATATCATTTTAAAGAGTTTCAGTGAAACCATAGTGAGTTTACAATTGCATTCATTTTCCTTTCCTTCCTGGAATTCCACTAAAATTATAGTAATGGGATTTTTTAAACATGTAAACTCCCAAGAGAATATAAAAGGAGACAATTGAGAAAAGAAGTTGAGGGAGTACCATAGGAAGTGGATAGAGTTGAATGATCTCTCTTAGTAGAGCATAGGAAACTAAAACTTGAATCTATAGAAGCAGATACCAGGTCAGTTTGGCTTGGAGAATTCCAGAAAGGTTCTGCCCTTGAAAGTGCACAGAGCTACAGGAGGCCACATGACATAAGGAGGTGAAGTCAGGGACATTGGTTGGAACTTTGAAATTGGAGCAGTTAGTTAAGCCTTCCAATTCATGTAATTAGGGGACTCCTCATCCATCCTTCTCTGCCTGCCCCAAGGAGCCAGAGAAGCGTGACCTAGGGAATAGGTGACCTGTGTGTGTTGGAGTCAGGGAGGTGATGAGGCACATGCATCCCACAAATTAGCGGACATCTGCATTCGAGGGTGGGATCCCCATAAGACTTGTCAGCTAGGCTTAGGCACAGCCTCACCCCCTAGTTGGGGCTAAGAAGAGACTTCTTACTGAGCCTCAGGGAAAAGATCTCCAAATTCTGCTATAAAGGGGATTCCTCACCCATCATATCCAGAGTAAAAAAGTCAGACTGTCACCCATCACTTTTCCTTGAGGGACGTCCCTTGACAAGTTCCACTCATGCACACAGAAATTTAGTGCCTCACACTTACATATGAGCAGAAAGCCAAAGTCAAAGCTTCTAACAGAAACACAGAGACTAAACAAACAGAAAAGATGGTCTCTAATGAAGCAGAGACAATGCAGGAAATAGAAGAATAATTTTAAAATCTTGCCTTAAGTTCTTCAGAGATGTGAGAGAAGATATAGTGGCCATAAAACAGAACAGGATGTGAGATAAAAATGTCAATAACTAGGATAAAGTTGCAAAAATCTCCCAGAAAGTAAAGCAAACTGAGATGAAAATAGAAGAAAATCAGAGGTGTCCAACATCCAAACTCTCTAATTATTTAGAGAGAGCTAACAGAAAAAAATGGAAAGAAAAATTTCCGAGAGCATATTTCACTTTTTTCAGAAGTGAAAAGTATGCACAGCACTCTGAATTTTCTTTTTAAAAGAAAGAAAGAAGAAAATCTCATGCTGTGGTACATCACCATGAAAATTACGGAAAACTGGAAATTCACTGATAGTCCTTAAACGGTTCTGAGGGAATAAAACAAGTCTCCACCAAGGAATAGGAAGAATGGCTCCAAACACATAAGTGACACTAGAATCTAGAAGACAAAGGTAAATGCCTTTGAAATTTGGAGGGAAATTTCTTTCAAACTAAGAATCTTAAATATGGCCAGACTACCAGAGGTAAGAGTAGAATAAAGGCATTTTTGCTCACGTGAGGACTCAAAAGTTTCTCTCCCATTCACCCTTATTTTGTAAAGATTTTCTGGAGCATTGGAAATGATAGTAGAATAGGACAAGGAGGCCTGATTTCTGGTCCTGCATTGTCACTGCTAAGTTCTCTCTGTCTCTTGGCTCAGCTGGACTAGAAGATCTTTAAAACCCCTTCTCAGTACCAAAATTCTATGAGTTGGGCTTTTCAAAGTATTAGATCATTAACCAAGTGTTTAGCTTTGGTTTCAAAAAAAAAAAAGAAAAAAAAAGATGGTTGCAAGTACAAAAATTTAACTTGGTTGGTGCTTGAAAGTCCCTGCAACTGGCCTCACCCCACATTACCCTCAGGAACATGACCTCAAGCTAGGTTTGCCAGAAATAGCAAAACTGAATTAAATTAAATTAAATTAAATTAAGAAATTTAAAACCCACAAAACAACAAAATTTGTTGTTTATCTGAAATTCAAATTTAACTGGACTTAGTGGCCTCTTCTACTTCAGCTGTAGGTTCTGGTCATGAGACTCTGGAGACAGCTGATGGGGGGCACAGACTGGGTTCCCTAATCTAAGGCCTCATGGATGGGCCTGTGAGGAAGTTGAATACAAGAACTTTGCCCGGTAGGAGCTCTTTATTCTGGGTGATGTCTTATCAGCTGCATCCGATTCTCTCTCCTTCAGCATTTTAAACGTGAGGATGCTGCTGGGGGCTGGCAAGAACCTGCGATGGTGTGGGGAGGGAGAGGGGAAGGCTCCAGAGAAGGGACCCGGTGCAGGAGGAGACACTGACTCAATGCTGTGCTGAGTCAGTCTCTTCGTAGACTGACTGAGACCTTCTCCAGGGCAGGAACCCTGCCTCATTCATTCATGATGCCTGGCCAGCGTGGGTTGAATAATGTGTGAACAGTATCCGGCTCTGCCCCCTTGCCGCTTCCTGTCGGCTCCAGGAGACACACTTCCAGCACAAGTGGGCAGGTGAGCAGTGCAGAGGTTAGGGAGGGGCGACATTAGGGTGATTACTGAGCCTTATTCTCATCCCCAGGCTCTGCAGGGTGCTTTATGTGCCTCCCTTCATGTAAGCCTCCCAACATCTTACAAAGTGAAAACTCAGAAAGGTCGAGTAACTGGCCTAAGGCCACACAGCTAATTCTAGGGGGTCAAGATCAGAAGAACCCAAGGCTGTTTGGCTCCAAAGCCGGCACTTCTTCCCGGACTCTGCAGTCCAAGTGCTACACAGGAGCGCTCGGGGGGGGGGGGGGGGGAACAGGGCTTTGAAGACCGTAAAGAAACTCTGAAGTCAGTGCCACCTGCTCTAACCCCAGTTCCTCCTGTATTTACAGGAAATTAGTTATTTCCAGTTTCCTGGAGAGCTCTTAATGAGGATGTTGAAGATGCTGATCCTACCACTGGTGGTCTCCAGGTGAGGAAGGGGCAGGTGTTTGTCTGGGAGGTCAGGGCTGGCAGGGGAGAGGGTTCTGTCCGGACTCGGTAGGCACCACGCTCTGGCTGTGGGGGGCTGGCCTGTGACCACAAGCCCTGGGAACAGTGTGACTGTGGGGTCTCTGTGGTCACTAGGATGTGGCACAGGCCATAAGTTGGTGGTCCCGCTTATTCCAGTGCCGTTCAATGGACTTTTCTGTGACTTGAACAAATGTTGTGGTATCATGGGACATGACCTGACTCCCGGATAGCTCAGGACCAGGGAGGGCAGGGATTGCTTCCCAGAGTGGGGCTCTCTATGGTCACTGCAGCAGTACGTGGGGAAAGACCAGGGAGGCGCTTGTGAGATGATATCTTGGCTCAGCTGTGCAACCTTGGGCAGGTTCCCAGACTCCCTTGAGCTTCAGTTTCCTCATCTGCCAAGTGAGAATAATAACGCCTTACTCCAAGTGGTTGTTGCAAGGACTGCCTGGGGCTATATAGATTTGCATGTGCTAGGTGTTGGGGGCGCAGGGGCCTGGGTCACAGGTGAAGCTGGGGGCAGGGTGTTCTTGCTCAAGCATGAAAGGCCTTGTAAGCAGGCTAAAGAATTCACACTTTACTCCCTGAGGGAAGACCCCTGGAAATCATTGTCCCCTGCCACTGACATGCTGGGCCACCTAGAGCCAGCCCCACCCCTCTCTGGGCCTCAGATTTCCCCATGTCTCAGGACCTGGCCGCTCCAGGAGTTGAGAGCCCTTCTTTGCTCTGAGGCTGCGGGTTGGGAATCCTCACCTCCTGGGACTTCTGTGCAGGGAGGCTTGTGGACACACCTCCGAGTCCTGTGTGTGTGTTGGTTGGGGGGTCGTGGGCTCTGTCCCCTGAGGCAGGGACATCCTGAGCAGTGAGCTGGCTCCTCCCCCGCTTTCCTTCCAGTGCAGGAAGGCCTGTTCATGGTCCCCTCTGCTCCGCTCCCTTGGGGGACAGGCGCTTTGTCAGGTACAGCTCAGCTTCACTTCCCACAGGCAGCACGTAGGGCTCTCAGGACTCAGCCTCCAAGGATCCTGCTTGAAAGGCTGCCTCTCTCCCTCCAAAAGCTTTCCCTGACTCCGCAACCCGCTCCAGTTGTTGTCTCTTTATGCATCTTTTGAGTCATTCACCGAGTCAATGAATCTGTGAGGATCACCAGTAGCTCTCATGTTGCTAAATCCAAAGGCCACTGGGTTCCTGCTCTCCGTGACTTTTCTCCACAGCAGCTGATGCACTTGACAGAGCAGCTGATCTCACTTTGGCTCTTGAAATCCTCCTCCAGCTGCCTCCTCCCCAGTCCCTCTTCCTCTACTCGACTTCTGCTGACTTCTGCTTGTGTGGTCACTTCTCAGGACTTCCCCGCCTCAGCTTTGACATTCCCCCTGCAGACCCAGAGCTCCCAGGTACAGACCCACCCACCGTGGGGGCCTCTCATCTGAGCACCACCTCTCCCCCATCTGACATCTCCCCTGGATGTTTAACAAGTGTCTCAAATAGTGTAAGCAATTTGAGATTATACCCTGCAAACCAGTTCCTTCTCCTGTTTCCGGCAGCATCATTCACCCAGCTCTTCGCACCCTTTCTTATTCGCTTCCCCCGCCCACTACCAGTCAGTGATCAGTAACTGCTCTGGCTCTTCCTCCGGAATCCAAGCCAGCTTCATCCCCTCCACGCAGGGCCCACACTCCGCAGTCACCTCAGTGGCCCTCTTGCTTCTGTTCTTGTTCTCCACCCACTCTCCCACTCTGACCTCTGGAAGGGCCCTCTGGGCTGTGCTTTTCATGAACCTAAAACCCACTGATGGCTGCGATAGCATTTAGAACAAACCCTTCCACCCTTACCTTGGTCTCGGAGGCCCTGCACCATCCTCCCCTTCCTGCACTGCACTTCATCCCAGGCCCCACTCACTCTGGTCCCGTTGGCCTGGTCGACCAGACCAACCCCTCCACCATCTCAGGGTCTCCACACATGCTGTTCCTTCTGCCTACAACACACTTCCCCACCATTTACGTCTCTTCCTCCTCTTCTTCCGTTAGATCTCCATTTCCACATCCCTGTCTTAGAAAGGCCTGCCCCACCCGTCCCCACTCAACACCACCCTCACTTGGCCTCACCAAGCCCTGCTCCCTTCTCTGCATAGCACTCACCATACTTTGTTATCCTGTGTGCATTCACTTGTTCCCTAGTTCCTTCAACTCCCACAGGCCTGCACACTCTGTAAAGGCAGGGACAGTCTTCCGTAGAGGTTCCACTCTAAGTCTGGCCGAGTGCCTGGTGCATAGTCAGTCTCCTTAACACTTGTCAGGTGAATTGGGGAAGCAATCAACAATCATGTGTTGTGTTCCCATGGTGCTTGGCCCTGGAGATACAGAGCCGGCTGAGGATCAGTCCCCGAGGAGCTCATGGGCTGTGAGGGAGATAGACGGGAAAACACAAGGTTACAGGACGTCTACACAAGTGTGTTCATGGAGGAAGCACAAGAGTCTTTTTCTCTCTACCACCCCCCACCCCCACCCCGGCCCCAGGTTTCTTCTGATATAAGTGCAGGACTCCTGTCAGGCAGCTTTGCTGACCTTGACTGTTGACCATCCTAAATGCCTGGGCATTGCTTCTTAGAACAGAAACACCTCACAGACAGAGGCTCTGGCATGGACCTGGAGTCACACAGGTCTGGGGTCCTGCCCTGGCCCTGCCATTGCCTGACTGTGTGGCCTTGAGCACATCATTTAACTTTTATTATTATTATTTTTTTCATTTAACTTTTAAAAAGTCCTGGAGTCAAGGATGCCTGGGTGGCTCAGTTCGATCGAGCATCCATTCTTGATCTCAGCTCAGGTCTTCATCTCAGTGTTGTGGGTTCAAGCTCCATGTTGGGAGACTACTTAAAAAAAAAAAAAAATCCTGGAGTCAGAGTCAAAAGCCAGGGTCCTGGACCTGCTTCTGCCACAATTATTACGTGATCTTAGGTAAGGCACCCTCACTCTGGGCCTTGGTTTATCCAGCTTACTTAGTGACTAAGGGCCTGTCTAGCTCTCCAAATCCTGGCTCTCAAACCCAGTCTTTCTCCACCAGATGAAAGTGCTTTCTCCTCGCCGGGAACGGAATGTGGTATTAACTTGAGAAAAGCCAGTGTGTGTTCACACATTTCCTTTGTTTATGATACAGTTTGGGCTGGTGCAGAGCAACCGTGTCACTGAAAAATGGAAGTGCTTTAACATTTTCCTGCTAAGGGAGAATTAAACCTTCTTGGGGTGGGGGGGTAGGAATTAGACATTTCTGAGTCCTCAATCCTCCATCCCTGACCTCGTCTTCCTTTGGCTTTAACTGGTTGGTAATCCATCCATCAGCCAACGGTCCCCCACAGTTTCCTTTCCTCCTGGCCAGTTCCGGGCTGGCGATCCCGGTCCTCAAGGAGCAACCACTCTGGTGTGGCGGTCATCACTTAGGGCAGAGCAAAATCTCCAGAGCTGCTTTGATAATTCAGATGTCAGGCTTCATACCGGGCTTACTAAACCAGACCTGCCAAAGGGGCCCAGGCAGGGGTTTGCTTTAAACTTTCCACAAGTGTTCTAATGGTTCAACAAAACGAAATGAAACAACCCTAATTTCTTGGAATCAAGCATTTGGGTGGATGGCTAAAGAGCTTGGTGTGAGGGCTACTGCTCCTCAGTCTCTGGGAGCTCCAGGCTGTAACCCCAGGGCACAGGGATTTTTCTGCAGTATAATCGCTCCAGGGCAGCAGGAGGATCCATATTAAGGCACACTTGCTTCTAGTTCCAATAACTGGCAATTCTGAGGCCCAAAGGCCGGCACCCATGATTCTAGATGCTCCCACCTCTTTTCCAGCAGAACCTGCCACCCTATTCTTACTCCAGGTCCCTGGAATCAGGCTGGTTACCTCATTGGTCCCTTAGTGTGCCACCTGCTTTTCTTCTTCATGCCTTTGCTCATGTTGTCCCTTCTTCCTTGAAAGACCTCTTCTCTTCCTAAAGTCCCGCTCTGCATTCAAGGCCTAGCTCAAGATTCTTTTGAAGTCCTCCCAGCTTTTCTATGGATGATGACCTGTCCGCACCGTGGATGCTGCCCATACCCTGGATGTACTCAGTATTGTTAGTGAAATGAATTCACAGTCACAGCTGGCATACTGCATGACAGGGTACAGACCCCCTGTTTTTATATAGTAGTGACATAGAAATAAATCAGCATTCTGATCTGGACTAGCCACTCCTACTGCTGGCTAAGAATTCCCTCTGCCAAGATCACCAGTCACCACGGCCCCTCTGAGGAGAAGGACTAGATACATCCTGGTGTTGTTCTGTGAGATCCTGGGAGGGGCGTCAGGTTCATTTTCTCCCTTGCCAATGGTGGTGGTCAAGGTAACAGATTTTTGCAGGAGATGAAAAACTAATAGACAAGCAAAGAGGGATGATGAGATGTAAAGAAGTCTGGGTAGTAATGGTGGAAAGGTGACACAAAGGATGAAAAGACCCTGTGCCAGCCTTAAAGGGTCTCACCATCTGGCAGGGGCACAGTCACAGAGACACTTTGTTTTAGAGAAAGTAGGCCCAGCTAGAGGGAGTTAAGGCCAGCAGCTTGGGTTGGAGCCCAGCTCAGGCAGTCTGCCCACAGTCCTGCATCTTCCAGCTCTTGGACATCTTTTCTCTAGAATCCACTCCAAAATGGCACTGGCCTAAGCCCCCTCCTCAGAGGGCACATGACAGTCCCACTGAGGGCCACCTCCCATGGGCCTGGTGTGGCTTCATAATCCCCAATGAGTGTGGTGAGGCCCCAGTGCCGGCAGGCATGGCTGAGAATCTTCAGGACACTCCAGGGGAAGAACTGGGGCTTTGGAGTCACTCACTGGGAGTGTGAACCTAACCAAGTCTCTCAGCTTCTGAGGCTTAGTGACCTTCCCTATGAAATAGGAAGAACACCCATCTCCCTTCTGAGAATGAAATAAGATGTCCTTGGAGCACCCAGTGTAGCTCCTGATACATGATAAATGCCACCTGTTTTTTTCTGACTCATGAAAGCTTCATCAGGCTTCTCCCAAGGTGCAGATGAGATGTTTCATGAAACCCTCCACCTCGGTTTCTGCTCTCAGGCAATCCCTTCAGGTGACCCCTGCCTTCTTCATGCTTTTATTTAGTACCTGCAGCGTACTCGTCACTCCCTCTGGGAAGCCTCTCTGGGCTCAGGCACACTTGGGAACACTGATACACACCTGTGTGCTGCAGTCCTGCATCTCAGTCCTGCACACCTGTGTTCTCAGCGGCCTTCGCAGGAGGATAGACTAGGTACCCTGTGTGTCCATGTGACACACACATGTTGCCTGTGCCCAGAGCCATCCCCCATGCTAGGGCTGTCAAAATCGCCTCATCCTCCAGGAATGCCTAGTGCTCACTGCCTCTTGCTTTCCTCTGCCCTCACATTTCTGCCACTAGTCAGAGGATAGCCTTTGCCTGTCTCCCATCCACACACATATCCCTTGCTTCAAACAGGGCACAAATGTAGCAATTTCACTGACAGTCGGGAGCAAGATCATGCTCGAGGATTATACTGAGAAGTATAAGCCCTTCAGCCATCTCTTGGTTCCGTCTCTCTGTATATTAGTTACCGATTACTGTGGATCAAATTACCACAAACTTAGCTCTATCTTACCTACCACTTTCCATAGGTCAGAAGCCCAGGCCTGGCTCAGTTGGATCCTCTGCTTGGGGTCTCAGGAGGCCGCAATCCAAGTGTAAGCTGAGCTGTGTTCTTATCTGAAGGCTTGGCCAGGGAAGCATCTATTTCCAAGCTCATCTGGGTCATTGGCAGAAGTCATTTCCTTGTGGCTATTTGTCTGAAGGCCCTGCTTCTTAACGGCTATGAGCTGGAGGCCACCCTCAGGTCCTAGAGGCTACCGGCAGTTCCCTGCCTTCTGGCTCCTTCCAAAGGCAATTCCCCAAATGGCTTTCTGCTTCCTAAGGCCAAGAGGAGGATCTCTCACTCTCCAGCCTTCTGAGACAGTCATGTACCATAACATGGGAGTGACGTCCCATCACCTCTGTCATATTCTATTGGTTAGAGGCAAGTCACAGATTCCATCTACACTTAGGGAGGGAGATTATGCAAGGGTATGGATCACTGGAGGATCAACACAGGGTATCCATCTCTTTCTTTCTCTCTCCCTATCTTCCTTCTCTCTACCCCTATTCCAAGACCAGCCAGAAATTCTATCCTCCTTGTCTTACAAAAGTGACCTCTAGTCATGCCCTGTTCCTGGCAGGGGGTGGGGTGGAGGTGCTGCTCAGCTTCTGGACCATATGCCTCATCAAGGAGTTTCTTTCAAACATGGACCACTCTCTTATCATAAATGAATTCTGAAGAAAATGAATTCATTCCTCTAACCCTTTTACAGGGCCATCACAGGGTCTGCTATACAGTAGGTGCCTAATAAATGAGTTTTAAATGAGTAAAGAGCAGGGGAAGGGGAGCTAAGGCAGGATTCAGGGAAGTTTCATGACCAACATTTGAACTGACCCTCGGAGGGTGGTTAGGAGTTGCCTTTTAAAGATGTTTTTGTACTTTAAAAAATTCTATAATTATAAACATTTTAGACAATCAAAAAAGATCCTCCCATCCTCCCACAATCTTAATTCTGCTACTGTTATTTTTTCCCTCTAAATATTTGCTCTTATCATTCTTAGTAGTGAATCACCAGGCCCAGAATGTAGTCCTTGGTAGACTGGTTCAGAAGCTTACCCTCATCTGAGCCTCTGCTGGTCAGGATAGTCCTCTGATGCTGGGAAGAAGCAACCAAAAAACAAGATGCCAATTCATTCGTTCACAGAGATGAATACAATTGCCAGGGAGGACAGGTGCACACAGTCTCTGGCCAGAGCATTTCTCCCTGTAGGCTCACCACCTGGGGAACCCACTGGTTAAATGTTTGCTGGCAGGACAATCTAATTTTTTAATTATACAGCCAGTGGGACTCTGGGTCTGCATTTTAACTCATTCCTGGGTCCCACCCGGTGGAATCCCATCGTATGTGCATTTAACTTAAGCAAATTTGATTACACATGCTGTGGAAAACAAAGGAAAAGAATGTAAAGGAGACAAATACCATTTGCTTCAACGTGGATGGAACTGGAGGGTATTATGCTGAGTGAAGTAAGTCAATCGGAGAAGGACAAACAGTGTATGTTCTCATTCATTTGGGGAATATGAATAATAGTGAAAGGGAATATAAGGGAAGGGAGAAGAAATGTGTGGGAAATATCAGAAAGGGAGACAGAACATAAAGACTCCTAACTCTGGGAAATGAACTAGGGGTGGTGGAGGGGGAGGAGGGTGGGGGGTGGGGGTGAATGAGTGACGGGCACTGAAGGAGACACTTGACGGGATGAGCACTGGGTGTTATTCTGTATGTTGGTAAATCGAACACCAATAAAAATTAATTTATTAAAAAAATAAAAAATAAAAAAATAAAAAATAATAATAATAAAAAAAGAATGTAAAGGAGGCAGGAGGCTGCCCCCATTCAGAGAACTGTGCTCCTGAGCGAGCTGCCATTAGGAGCGGTGGCCACGCTTCGCACTAAGCCAGTCTCTCTGTTCCCATGTGCCTCTCAAGGTGCGAGCATCTCCCTGCAGCAGTTGTGATGCTAGGCCTTGCAGAGAAAGGTTGGGGATTTTTTTCTTTACATCGTGGCTTCTGAGTGTGTGCTGACTGCTCCTGCTGGGGTTCACCTCAAGAAACAGCAACCTATTTCACAGCCAGGAAGAAAACTGTCTTGAGTGAACTTAAATAAAATTTTACCTACTCAACTTATGGTTGATTTATAGGATCTCCAAGGCAAATTTTACTAAACTTGGCTTTTCCTTTCTGTACTGACTTCAGAATTGAATATGCCAAATAAGGGCCTGCTCCGCTATATAGCGGGAAGCCTAACATCTTCCTCTTTTGAGGCTTGTACTGATGCACTTTCCATAACTCTACATGAAGATTTTTTTTTCCCATGAGAGACACAGAAAAAGAGGCAGAGACACAGGCAGAGGGAGAAGCAGGTTGTTGCAGGGAGCCTGATGCGGAACTCGATCCCAGGACCCTGGGATCATGACCTGAGCCAAAGGCAGGTACTCAATCACTGAGCCACCCAGTGTCCCTGCATGCAGATCTTAGGGTCTCAAGGTCTTAAGGTGTCTCCATCAAACCACAGAAGTCTCTCCTTTCCCTTGAACTAACTGTGCCTTCTTACCTTATATTTTCCATTTGAAAAAAATTTTTGAAGATTTTATTTATTTGAGAAAGAGAGAGCACAAGCAGGGGGAACGGGAGAGGGAGAAGCGGGCTCTCCGCCGAGCACGAGCAGGGAGCCCGAAGCAGGGCTCAATCCTGAGATCCTGGGTTCATGACCTGAGCCACAGGCAGACACTTAACCCACCAAGCCATTCAGGCATCCCTGAAAATGTTTTCTAAAAATGAAATTAGCTGCAAGATTAGCTGTCTTTACCCATGGACATAGAAGCCTCAGACAAAATTTAGAAAATCCTGCCTCCCCTTGCATAGGAAGAGTCTGATGGTTAGGACCTGTTGCAGCACAGTCATGTCCTTGAACTAGGCCCCTCTCCCATGGGTGGTGCTTGGGAGGGTCCCGAGTCATGTCCTTGAACTAGGTCCCTCTCCCATGGGAGTGCTTTGCCGCTCTCAGCTCTCCATGCCCCACTGCTGACTGATCCCATGCTAATCACTCCTCTTCCACTAGAAAAGTCAAATCTTTGGAGCCTTGGGGGCCTTCCTTTCCCATTTTCTCTCAGCAATAGCACCTGTCACTACCCTGATCCCTTTTGCTTTTAATTTATTGTTTATCCCAAAGGGCATTGGCAACGTTCTGTTCCTTTAAGATCTCGGAGGAGACATTACTGTAACTTCTGCAAAAATAAGTCTATGTGTTTCTTCTTTTTTTTTTCCTTTTACATTTAATGTGATGTTATAAGAATTGCCCACGCTGCACCTCCTCTCTATAATCTTGTTTTCATCTTCCACTCAGGCCGGAGTAGAGGTTGGGAAATGCTTTTTCTTTCCCAGGACATTTAGGGTGTTGCTGGATGTCCTCCTGGAGCATCACTGTGTCTCACAACTCTGGAGTTCCCTCAAGTTCTGTTATTGACCACACTCTTGGCCTCAGCCATAGAATAGACACAATGGTATCAGCTGACTTACAAAGTCATTCCCAGCAGGTGCTTTTTTATTTTTATTTTTTGGTGGCCCATCAAGCCCTGAAATGGGCTGGAGTTTGCTTCTAAGCTTGGGAAGTCAACTGCGCCTTGTTTTCACTTACCCCCAGACAAGCGACACCAGGAAGCAGGGGTAGGTCAGACCAGCATCTGGATCCAGCGAGGGCCTCCAATTCTCCGCTTGTTCTTTGCCAAACCCTCCTCTCCCCTCATTCTTCAATTTCTAAAACCAGGCATCATTCAAGGGAAACTAAATCCATGTGTTTGTGATTCACCGATGCCGAACATGGCAGAGTGTTTTGTAAGCTTCACATCATAGCAAAGAAATCCAAGTGCGTGTGTGGATTCCTGGGGGACTGCGTGGTGCGTGTCTTTACCTGTGTGTGGTGTGCACGTACGTGTGTGTACATGCATTCCTGCGTATGTGTTGTTTTCCTTTCTGTTCCTTGTAAGAATTTTAAGCTGATTTTTCTTAGAATCAGGAAATCATGTTTGGCCAAAGAAACCTAATACTCCCTTCTCCCCCTTCCAAAGGAACTCTAGCTTGGCAGAAAACACCCAAACACCCACGGTCTAACTTATTGGAGAAAGTCCTGGGCCGAGCAGCCATTGGAGTCTGGTTCAGGAGCCAGGTGGGGGTGGAGGCAGCTGCCCGGGCTCCCCAGCACACAGTGAGTGGGAGACATGAGGAATGGGCAGCCTGTGCCCTGGCTCTGCCCTCCCGCCATGGGGCAACTTCTCTTAGCAGAGCTCTGCTGGCCTCTCTGATGGGAGCCCTGGGATCTGTCCTTGGCCCTCTTGCCCTGTCAGCTGACCGCCTTACTCATCAGGAGGGGGAACATGGCCCAGCTGTGGCCTATGGGTGGGGTCAGATCATCAGCCTGGTGACTCCAAAAACCTCCCTGGTTTTATCACCCATCAGGACTCCCGTGCTCTTTCCCCTACCCAGGTAGAGAATTCTTACTCAGCCTGCAAGGATCCATTTGGCAGCCACCTCCTCTGGGAAACCTAGATTCCCAGGCAGGGGCTAGACCTTGCTTCTGGCCTCTCCCAATCATGGCCATGACCCACGGTCTGTGTGGTCTAGTGCAGGTCTCCCCACCAACTGGATGGAGCTCCTTGAGGACCATGAGCCCACCTCGTTCATTTCTGGGACCCACAGCACCCAGAGCAAGTGTGCAACATGGGTCAGGCTAGGAACATATCAGAATTTGGGGAGGTGGGGAGGTTTTGAAAAGCTCCCACTTCCCTTCTCCTTAGAGAACCACTGCACTGGAGGGTCTCATTTGACCTGGAGAAAGCATCACTTGGGCAGCCCAGCCCAAGCCCTCAGTGGAGAGACACCAGGAGCCCCACTGGTGGAGGGAGAGGAGGCAGGAGACCAATGTTCCCTTAGACTCTGGGGGAGGGGGTGGTTGCTCCTTCCTCTGGCATGGGGCTCCTAACCATGGCGTGGTGGCACTGGTCATAACCAGGCATCCCAGGAACTTGTTCCTAATAGTAGAGATGACAGTCTGCACCTGTAGAGCAGAGCGGTGGTCCTCCGGGGGAACACTCTGGCTCCCTCGCACCTGATAGTCTTTGCTTTGTGGGAAAGAAAGGGGTAGGGCTTCAGCTCTCGCGGAGTTAGCAACTGGACTGGACCCTTATTACACTTGGGAGCACAGCCTTCCTGGGGCAAAGTGGTTGAGAATAGCCAATGATCAGACCATGAGCTCTGAGGGCTGCAGCA